ATTAAAAAATAAAATAAAAAATAAATAAAATAAAATAAGGAGGCGAGATTGCCCAGCCTGTGCGAACAGATATAGTCTGAATTCCCACGTCATTGCGGGCTCCCCTCCCACCTGCCCCCCTTGCTCTGTGGAGCTGTGTGTCCCTGAGCCACACTGGCCAGGCTGTTTTTCCAGGGCAGCAGCACCTGCCACCGACGTAGCCCGAACCCCAGGAGAGCGGCCTTGTTTACAGCTCAGGGCTGCTCTGATGGGCCCAGGGGGGCTCGTGCTGGGAGGAAAGGCCACCACAGGGCAGCCGGGGCCGTGCCGCCCACCTGCGTCCCAGGTGCTGGTGCTGGGGGCCAGCACTCGCGCTGAGACGTCCTTGACCGGCTCAGGTATATCACCCTTCCTATCACCTGGAAACAAAAAGCAAGACACACACAGAGAGAGAATAATTGTTTGTACAGACTGAACAAAGGTGCAAGAGGCGAGCCCTGGCCGGTGTGGCTCAGTGGATAGAGCGCCGGCCTAAGGACTGAAGGGTCCCGGGTTCGATTCCAGTCGAGGACACATGCCCAGGTTGCAGGCTCAATGCGGGAGGCAACCAATAGATGTGTCTGGCTCACATCGATGTTTCTCTCTGTCTCCCCGCCTCCCCTCCACTCTCGTTAAAATGGAAAAATAGCCCGGCTGGTTGAGCGTCGACCTATGAACCAGGAGGTCACAGTTCAATTCTGAGTCGAGGACACATGCCCAGGTTGCAGGCTCAATGCGGGAGGCAACCAATAGATGTGTCTGGCTCACATCGATGTTTCTCTCTGTCTCCCCGCCTCCCCTCCACTCTCGTTAAAATGGAAAAATAGCCCGGCTGGTTGAGCGTCGACCTATGAACCAGGAGGTCACGGTTCAATTCTGGGCCAGGGCACACGCCCAGGTTGCGGGCTCGATCCCCAGTAGGGCAATTGCAGGAGGCAGCCGATCCATGATTCTCTCTCATCATGGATGCTTCTCTCTCTCTCTCTCCCTTCTTCTCTGAAATCAATAAATACATATATATATATTTAAAAGGCCTGTCATTTTTCCAACTAGGTCTGAACTCACCTGCATCAGGCAAGCACACACGCAATGGCCATCCCATTAAAAACAAAATTAGGAAGGCGAAGGAACGCCGAGGCTGGCCCATCACTCCAGCACCGTCGTCTCTTATCCTGCGGGTGAAAGGAGCCAGGAGCCGTTCCACTGGAGCCCAGTGTCTGCCCTGAAGCACGGCTCCCTGCCCAGCATCTGGTTCTGCCTTGGAGCCACCAGTGTGAGGTCAGCCCAGGTTGCCACGCGGAGTCCCTCCACGGAACCGTGCCAGCCAATGGGAGGCTGAGAGGAGAGGGGTCGTGGGGCAGGAACGAGGACTGGGCAGACCACGGAGGAGGCAGATGGAGGCCCAGCCCTGCCTCCTGGGATTCCTCTTCCATCTGGTTTTGGTCCCAGGCCTGGCCCCTCCTCTGTCTCCCAGGTTCTCCCTCTTGGGTGCACCCCACACCCCGCCCTTTGCTGCCTCCTTAGCCGAGTGTTCACAAGGCAGACCTGGGCCCATCTGAAACCAATAGAAATACATTTTAAAAATAAAATACAATTGCCCTAACCGGTCTGGCTCAGTGGATAGAGCGTCGGCCTGCGGACTGAAGGGTCCCGGGTTCGATTCCGGTCAAGGGCATGTACCTTGGTTGTGGGCACATCCCCAGTGGGGGGTGTGCAGGAGGCAGCTGATGGATGTTTCTCTCTCATTGATGTTTCTGACTCTCTATCCCTCTGCCCTCCTCTCTGTAAAAAATCAATAAAATATATATATTTTTAAAAAGACTGTGAGAAAATAAATTTCAGTTGTTTAAGCCATCCAGTCTATAATATTAAAAGATAAATAAAAATAAAATGAAATGAAAAACACCCCAGAGCAATGGAACAGCTGGTGGTTTCGTTGCTGCTTCGGCTGTGGGCGGCGGTAAACAGTGCGTCACCCCCCGACCCCACCCTGGTCTGACTGTGGAGTCTTGCCACCCCTGCTCCTGCCTCTCGTGGCAAATCCATTCAGCTGCTGGCATTCCCTCCTGCCACACTCGCTGGGCGGCCGGCAAGCACTGAGCCCTGAACGGGGGGATCAGGTAGCACGTGCCCGTGGCAGCTGGTGACCGGACTCAGGCGGGAGCACCCTCCGCCTCCAGGACAGTTTCTCACGCTGGGGAGTCAGCACCAGATGGACCTTCTGCCCCGGGATTTCTAACCAAGACCCTGGAAGCCTCTCCAGGAAGGACTGCTGGCCCCTAATGGCCGCCCGACAGGCCATCTCTAGGGAGGTCGGGAAATACTTGCCAACTGGAGAGAAGGCAGCCAATCTGCCCTATTCCGCTCGCCCCCGACCCCCTGGGAGCACTGAGAGGGGCTTCCTCACTCTATGGGGCCTGAGAGCTCCCTTCCCGTCCGAACCCTCTCTGCCCTGAGGCAATCTTTCCACCTGGAGAAGATGAGGGAGTATAAACCTGAGTTCGAGGGAGACCGCAGGAACGCTGCGCCCACGGGCAGCGCTGGGTCTTGCCCTCCGCGGTGAGGACACGCGAGACCCGAAGACAAGCATCCCTCCGGCTCCTGGTCCGCTCTCAGCCTCAGGGCTGTGGGTGGTGAGTTTACGAAATCCCGGCTCCAGGAAATGCCGGGAGTCGGAATGTCCAATCCAGACTTCCTACTCCGGAGGGAGCTAAGCCCTCGTGTTACCAGAAATCCTTCCGGACAGAGAGCCAGGTAACTTCAGTTCTCATTACTTAGGAATTTCTTGATTTTTATTAGCAAATATCTACCATAGAAACACTGAACAATAACAAAAACACCAGGGGGTCACTGGAGAGAGGCAGCACAACTGTGGTTAAACACAGGGGCTCTGAAGCCAACATCTCTGCCTCCGTTCCTCCATCTGTAAAACTGGGGTGACAGCACCCACCTCATGGAACTAAGGGGATTGGACACATTAATAATTGGAAAGCATCTAAAACAAAGCTTAGCACGTGGTAAGTGCTGTAAGTGTTTATAAAACTTTATGATTTTAAAAAATTAACTGGGTTAATTTATCCATGGGTCTTTCCAGTCCTTATCCATACACACTTTTAGATGTTATAGAAGACATGTATACACAACTCTGTGTCCTTGTTATTCCTTCAGGGTATGTACTCTGATGCAGTGTCTATAATTATAACTTATAGTGATTGCCTAAAACAAATTACAAACATCCAACAATGAGTAAACCATGGACATGGACACACTGTGATATTAAATGTCACTTTTTGTCCCAACAACATCAGCCTCATACTTCTAGAAAATAACTTTTCCACCATTAGTAATCTCATTTACTAATTTTTCTAAGGTTAATCTCGACTAACAGTAAATATCCCATTCAATACTATTTTTTTTTCTTAACCTCAAACTTAGTATTCCATAGTCTATTCCTTAAAGGACACCCAGACCCTCCCCCTAATAACAGCAAAATCTGTGTTTTCACAATTATGCACAGAATGTTATTATAAAGCTTCCCACCCAATGCTCCAGCTCGATGCAAAACAGCGTATTTCCAGCTGAAACACTTCCCAGCACAAGGTTTTCTCCTCCATCAATGTACTCTGGTCCACAAATCCTTGAGATCTCTTACTAAAGGTGTCTCGTCCCTACATTCACGTTCCTCAAGCAAGATCCTGGTTGAGGAGTAGGAGCGGGGCTTTCCTTCTTCACTGTAATTATCTGACGTTAAATAAGGGCTACATCACCACTACGCTTTCCTCTATCGTGTTCATTCATACGTTTCTTCTAGATGTTTCTATTGAGTAGTAAGGGGAAGAGCCTCCCTGAACTCCTACTAGTAAACAGCCCCTCCTGCTGATACTTATAGTGTTTTTTTCAAAGGATCACATGTACAAGGAAAGGAAGTCTCTCATCAGTTCAGTTCAGACTTTCCCTGCACGGTGGCTCCTCTGGTGTTGCAGCAGGGCCGAGTGGCCACTGTAGGACTTTCCACAGTCGTTGCATATAAAGCGTTTCTCTCCGCTGTGCATTCTCTGGTGAATAATGAGAGAAGAATTCTTACAGAAAGCCTTCTCACAATGGTTGCATTTGTAGGGTTTTTCTCCAGTGTGGTTTCTCAGGTGCACAATGAGGGAAGAACTCTCATTAAACGCTTTCCCACATTCGTTACACCTATATGGTTTCTCTCCAGTGTGAGTTCTCCGGTGCGCAATCAGGTGAGAGCTGCAGTTAAAGGACCTTTCACACTGATTACACTTATAGGGCTTCTCACCCGTGTGAATTCTCCGATGAGCAACAAGGTGACAGCTCTGGCTGAAGGACTTCCCACATTTATTGCACTCGTAGGGCTTTTCTCCAGTGTGAGTCCTTTGATGTCTAACAAGGTGAGCCATTTGGCTACAGGATTTTCCACATTTATTACATTCATAGGGCTTAATTCCAGAATGAATTATTTCATGTTTAGTGAGGGCCGAGCGTTCTCTGAATGCTTTGCCGCATTCCTGACAGTTATAGGGTTTCTCTCCCGTGTGCGTTCTCTGGTGAGCGATGAGGTGGGAACTCCAGCTGAAGGACTTTCCACATTCAGTACATTTATATGGTTTTGCTCCGGAGTGAGTTCTTTCATGTTTACTGAGAGCCGAGTAATCCCTAAAGGCTTTTTCACATTCATCACATTTAAAGGGCTTCTCTCCAGTATGCATCCTCATGTGGGCAATCAGATGGGAGCTCCAGCTGAAAGACTTCCCACACTCAGTGCATTCGAACGGTTTTTCTCCGGTGTGAGTCCTCTGATGGCCAATCAGATGGGAGTTCCAGTTGAAAGACTTCCCACACTCATTACATACATAAGGTTTCTCTCCCGTGTGAATCCTCGTGTGCACAATCAGATGGGAGTTCCAGCTGAAGGCCTTCCCACATTTATTACATTCATAGGGTTTTATTCCAGTGTGAGTCCGTTCATGCTTGGTAAGGGCTGAACGATTCCTGAAAACTTTCCCACATTTATCACATTCGTAGGGCTTCTCTCCAGTATGTGTTTTCTTATGTTGGATAAGGTAAGAGCTCCAGATGAAAGACGTCCCACATTCATTGTATTCGTAGGGTTTCTCTGCGGTGTAAGTGCTTGTATGTTGAGTGAGGAAGGAGTCATACCCAAAGACTTTCTCCCACTCATTGTATTTATATGCTTTCTCTACAGCGCCCATATTTTGACGCTCCATAAAGGACGAGAAGTAAAAGATATTCTCATATTCTTTATAACCATACTGGTTTTCTCCGATAAGAGGTCTTGGATGTTCAATAAATGACGGGCTCTGGTTAAAGATTTGATGGCATTCCTTATACTCATAGAGTTTTCCTGTGTGCATTCCCTTATGATCACCAAAATGTAGTACGTGATTGAAAGATTTAACAGCATCAGAACATTTGAAAAGATTATCTCCAGTCTGCATCCTTGCAGGGTGAATAGGTGGCATGGACGGGTAGAAGGCTGTGTCATAACCATTATTTTCACAGGTAATCTTATCTGCATACATGATGGCTGACTTACACCTCCAACTTTCAGCATGTGTATCAGGCTTATAGAAATGTTCTATTTGAGAAACCCTCTGAGAGGGAATAAAGTTTAAGCTCTGGCCACACCCCGCTCCAAGGTCACAGAATTCAGAGCCTCTTTGAGACAGCACTTGCTTCTGCATGAAGACCATCTGCCTCATAGCTGTACTCTGGTTCACACGGTACATTTGTAACCGGTCGTCGCATCCCAAAATTTCTAACCTGGAGAACCAAGGATCATCCCACACGAATCGTTCCAACTTCATGCTATGGGACTGGTCACCCTCAAAAATGCGACGTGTTGGGATCAACGCTTTACTTTCAGGATTTCTCACCATTTCTGAAGTAAACAGAAAAAAGTCGTGAGAAAGAACGTTTAAGAATCGAGTGGAAAAGGTGGGGTTTCTGTCATATTATTGAGAAGGCAAGTGTGAACTTGTTTTCACATAGACTCACAACTCAGAGGAGCATCGTAACAGGGAAAAGGGAAATAGTGAAGAGTGAACAAAGCAGCTGACCACAATATGAAGTGTGCTGAGTGCTGATAAAATCTATGGAGCATTTTCCCATGAGAAGGAAGGGAGGACAGATAAGGGTGAGCAGGGAAGGGGTAACGACCCTCATGAGTTGCTCAAACTGCACATCCCCAAGAAGGCCTGTGTCACGACCGGCCCTTGGCCACCTCCTGATAAAATCTATGGAGCATTTTCCCATGAGAAGGAAGGACAGATAAGGGTGAGCAGGGAAGGGTAACGACCCTGCATGAGCTGCTCAAACTGCACATCCCCAAGAAGGCCTGCGTCACGCCGGCCCTTGGCCACCTCCCAGGAAGTGAGGTCTGGAATGTCCTCACTCAGGAGAGTGTTCTACATGCCTGAGGCCGTGGAGCAAGGGCGCCAACTTCCCTACATGGTTTGTACACACAACACTGTTCATGGTGAACACCTTTCCTTCCAGAGTCCGGAGCTCCCATGGTCCCAGCCAGTCGTGTGGGCCTGTGTGACCAACCCCCAGGAAATACCCTGGGCTCCAGGCCAGCTTCCCCTCGTGTATGACGCTTCACGTTGGCCACCATTTGTTGCTGGAAGAATTAAGTGTGTCCTTTGTGATTCCACTGGGGAAGGACTGCCAAAAGCTCCTTGAGTCCCAGCCGGTTTGGCTCAGTGGACAGAGCGTTGGTTGTGGGCTCGATGTGCAGGAGGCAGCCAACCAATGATTCTCTCTCATCACTGATGTTTCTGTCTCTCTTTCCCTCTCCCTTCCTCTCTGGAATCAATAAAAAATATATTTACAAAAATAAAAAGCTTGTACTTAAAAAAGCAAAAGGGGGAAAAACAACAACTGGTAGTTGGTTCCTCCTCCAGACTCAGCTCCAGAGCCTCCTGGTGTCTCTTTCACTGGAATAAGGCAGCGCCCTGAGTGTGATGACTTTTGAGTGGACGACACGGCGACACAGAAGCGAAGTTCTCACAGACTGCCCAAGTTTGGTATTAATTCAAATAGATTATTACAAATTGAGATGTTAATAATAACTGAAAAATTCACAGGAAAGCCCAGCCAGTGTGGCTCAGTGGTTGAGTGCCAGCCTATGAACCAGGAGGTCACAGCTCCATTCCTGGCCAAGGGCACATGCCTGGATTGCAGGCTCCATCCCCAGTGTGGGGTGTGCAGGAGGCAACCGACCAATGATTCTCTCTCATCATTAATGTTTCCATTTCTCTCTCTCTCTCTCTTCCTCTCTCTGAAGTCAATTAAAAAACAACACATATTTTAAAAAAATCATAGTAAAAACACACTGGTTAGCTCTCTCTCTCTCTCTCTCTCTCTCTCTGAAGTCAATTAAAAAACAACAACACATATTTTTTAAAAATCATAGTAAAAAAACACTGGTTGCCTGTGCATGTGCCTCTGTGTGTGCCTGGGTGTGCTCATGTGTGTGTCTGTCTGTGTCTGGGGTAAGAATAATGTGCGGAAGGAAGAGTATAAATGAGATTCCTTTCAGCTTACAATTCATACAGCATTGAGTGTTTCCAACCATGTGAATACATTACCTACCTTAAAAACCTGTTTTCTTGTTTGGTTTTTTAAAGCCGGGTCTGAGGCTACAGGCTACAGGTTTGGCAATAAACAAACTAAGAACGAAGAAGCAGGTGAGAGAATGGGAAGTCGCCGGAGCGAAAGGCACAGAGAGAATGTGAGGCGTCGCGGGTGGGCGGCAGGTGGGAACTGCAGCTACGAAGAGGCAGCTTGTAGAGGTGGGCACGTCTGCTCCGACTCAGCAGCAGGGCCCACGCGCCGGTGAGGGAACTGAGGGTCTGAGGCCCTGACTCCTCAGACAAAGTCCCCCTCCCACCGGGCTGCTCTCACCTGGACACGGGCTCCGGGGACGTGGCTGCTCCACCCGCCAGGGCTCCGCGCCCTCCTCCAGCAGGGAGATGACCTCGGGCTTGGTGACCTGAGCCCCTGCAGGGGAGGAGAGCAGGGACTGTCACCTGGAGAGCTCCCCTGCGCCTTCCTCCCAAACTCTCCCGCTTCGAGCTGGATAAGCACCAGGAATTTCACCCTGAACCTCGGCTCATGATCATCTCAGCCCACCTTTATTTTTTAAATGTTCTCATTGATTTTAAAGGGCGAGTGACAGAGATAGAAACATCGATTGGCTGCCTCCTGCACGCCCCCTACTGGGGATCGAGCCCACAGCCCGGCATGTGCCCTGACGGGGAATCAAACCCTGACCTCCTGGTTCATGGGTCGGTGCTCAACCACTGAGCCACACTGGCCGGGCACCATCTCGGCCTGAGGCCTGGAGCACTGAGCCTGGAGCACAGAAGGTCTGGGAATGGAAACTGCTCCATGACGCGGGCAGCACCCGCCTTACCCACAGACAGCAGGTGCCCGAAGGTCTCCAGCATCACGTCCCGGTACAGCGTCCTCTGCGCAGGGCCCAGCCGCCCCCACTCCTCCGGGGAGAAGTCCACGGCCACGTCCCGGAAGGTCAGCGGCTCCTGAAAGAGCACAGGCCCCTCAGCCGGCCCCTCGGGGCTTCCTGAGGACAAGGAGCTGACAGCCGGGAGCAGAGGGGTGTGGAGACACACCTGGCGTCACCAATGACCTCATGGAGGGCGGGTCGCCTGGACTCGGGATTCGCTACCTGGGCCACAACGACCACAGCCAATGAGCTTGTCTCCCGAGACCCTGCCCAGCCCTCGGGACGTGGACAGTGTGGACGGACGCCATGGCTGCGCGTTCTCTAGAGATGCAGGCACTCGGGAGGCGGACAGGGCGGAGGCAGGCCTGGGAGCTGGGAGCTGGGAGCTGGGAGCTGGGCGGGTCGGACACGCACACCCATCCTGCGGCCACAGACCCTCTTTCCTGAGGACCAGGCTGGGGGGGGCGGGGGGAACAGGACTCAGCCACCGGAACCAGTCACGATGCTGTCAAGCAGCTGAGTCCTAACAAGCCACCCTGAGGATTTTAGGAAAAGCAGATCCAGAAACACTCACTAGAACCCACACAGGAAGGAGGAACTATAATCCAAGGGTGACTTCTGCAATGAAAGCACCGAGTCTGGTCCTTAAAGGAGCCGTCAGCGGGAGCCTCAGGGGCCGCAGGGGAAGCTGTGAGCCCTCTGTGCACCGTGACCCTCCCTCGGTCCC